TGCCCTTTGCAACTGTTTTCTGTTGCCTTTTCCTGCTGTGACAGTCCTCCTGGTGCTGTCAAATCCACATGGGTTACTCTGGTCTTCACTACATTACGATCAAAAAAAGAACATCTGAATGAGTTTCAACCTTTTATTCGTTTGTTTCAAAGATTTACTTATTTATTTGAAGAAGCAGAATCATGGGGGCGGGTGAGAGCTCATCCATCTGCTGGTTCACCCTCTTAAATGGCCACATTGGCCAGAGCCAGGAGCTTCTTCTGGGTTTATCACAGGGGTACAGGGTCCTAAGGAATTGGCGCATCCTCTGCTGCTTTCTCAGGCACATTACCACAGAGCTGAGTTAGAAGTGGAGCAGCCAGGACCTAAATGGTACCCACGTGGGAAGTCAGCAGTGTAGGCTGTAGTTCACCACAGTGTGAGTCTCTGTCTTTTCTTTAGCATGACAGTGTGATGTTCTTAGATACAAAGTGATTTGGGTTCCCTGGAGTACAATGATTTCTAGGGCCCTATTCACCTGTAACTTTGTGACTTGAGAATGGCATTTTAGTAAAAAGGTGCCAGGGAAGGGTAGAGCCAATGTGCATGTCTTCCTGGCAATGAGTATATATCAGAGTCCTGGGTCAGGAATCAAAGCCCTGGAAATCCAAAGTCCCAGGTGGTACTCCCTTAACCACTCCAAAGCTTTAGCCATGCAAGGTAGAAATAAGGTCATGCTGATCTGTTGAAGCAGTATATATCAAAGAGCTTTGAAAATAAAATCACATAGGCAAACCAGGGTTACTTTTAGAATAGAAGTAGAACCTCTGAGACTATGTCTGACTTTGGACTTCAGGCCTCTGTTGAAAATATAACTACACACAGAGTCCTTTACCTCATGCCATGCAGCAACTGCTGTGGAGTTACCACTTGCTAAAAGTAACAGCAAGACATCAGTAACTCACTAATGGGGGAAGGCATGTTTTTAAAAGTTAGCTAAAGAGGGAAAATGCTGAAATAAGGGCTTGATTTGAAAAACATTTTTGGAAATTTTATTAGTTTTGCAGCACCAAATAATATTAGCAAATAGGACAGTTTTCCAGTAGATTTCAGTGGAGAATTTTCCATGTAGAAGTTATGGTGTGTCATATTCATCTTTTTGTCCTGCCCCAAGATGATTCTGCAAATCTTAGAAAAAATGTCTGAATTTCTTAAGGTCAAGTTCTTCCAGTTGCAATAACAGATGCTCATTTTTTTTTTGCATCTTTTACTTATAGTTAAATAAAATGTATTGAAAACCTTTGTGATGCTCTTTAAACATGGACAATCAAGAAAATATGCAGTGCTACAACATACAAGTCATTACGTTTGACTTTATGCCACTGTATGCCTACATTTTGCTTGTAAATAAGCTGTTGTAACTCTGTTAGGAAATACTACTAATTGTATTTATAAAGTCAAGTCTCCTTCCTAAACTCCTAAGCCAGATGGGCAGGTAAATCCATGTCATGAAAATCGATCTCCTGAAAGCACGGGTCACTTGCACTGCCATTTATGCTAACACAGCGTTCTTCTTAGGTTACTGCCAAGAGTGACTCCCATGTAAGTCCCACACCTCAGGGACCACCAATGACATAACTGCTCGAGAACCTAATAGAAAACCTCTAACTTTGGGGAAAACATGTGCATCCCTAGAAATTTCAGAATAGAGTATGTTGAAGAACAACCAGGACCATAAATAAGCGGAGGTTTTTACAAGGTTGCTTTCAATTTCTATCATTTTACTTAAAAGATGTAATAAACTCACTGTCTGGATAAAAATAACATAAAGTCCAATACTTGTTTTTTGTTGAAGGAGAAACAACTAACAGAATATATTCCCTATCATATATACAGATACATTTTATATATGTATATATGCATGTATATATTGTGTCTCTTATGTAAAATATGTACACAGTAAATTACAAATATACATCTAAATAAGTATATGTAAATATGCAATAAAAACATGTCAATATATTTACACACAGTAACTTCCTATATTTCTTGATTTAACAAAGGAAAGTTCTAGGGAAACTACAGACACAATTGCAAAGTCTGGTAATGTTTTCTTCAGTTTGCTGCAGTGGTGGTCATTAGCTATGGGCGACTTGTCTTGCATCTTTTTCATGCATGTCTTACTTGTCTGCACAACTAGAAAGTGGGCTCCTGGGAGGAAGTGCCCTGTGGCACGAAGCCCAATGCCTTGTATATAACCTGAGTGCATTAATCATTTATTGACACATGCAATTACAGGAAAGAGACTGGTGAGGTACACTTAAAATGTTTATTCATTGATTTACAAAATGTACAGTATTTACAAAGTTTAGGCATTAATCCCATATTGACACAAATGCTGAGAGGACTCTAAAAATAAATATGTGACACATAGGCTAATATACACGTCGCAGTTCTTCGTACTTAAAGCCGTCACCAATGGTGAGCTTTAATGGAGAGTTTAATGTGGTAGAAAAGTCAGACGGCTGACCAGTCCTGGACCTTGCACATGACTGGTCATTTCCTGGCTCCCCAAGGTTGGGGATGGTGAGTACACTAGTTTCCTTCAGCAGAATTAAACACAAGCCATTCTGACAGGCACACAGAATGCATACAGCCACATCTGTGTTGTCAGCAGTAACTCCCTGGGTAGTGGATGAATCTGCACTATTGTGGACTTGATCCCTGGACACCAGCCAGGGTGGCTTAGATGTGCTCAATTTCTTGTCTCTTATTCAGATTGCATGCAATACTTGGAAAATGTCAGTGGAACATGACCATGCACAAAAATGGTACATCTTGATATGTACAGAATCAACTTTCATTGTCTTAAAGCATCTTGAGATGCAAGATAACTCTCTCCTCTTTCAGCAACAGGGATGAACAAGGAAGCCATACCTCCACCCCCAAAGAAAAGCCACTATCTAGGGACACATGCAAATTGTCTCCTGCAGAAGCAGAATGAAATAAATTCCCATGATTAGATGGACAAATTCCCATGATGCCAGGCCTGGAAGTTTTCTCAAGAGGGTAATTCCACTTTCCCATCATCTTCAATTCCACCTCACTCCACATAATCTAATTCTAAAGAAGGTGTTTTTGAGCTTCTCTGAGCCTCAGTACCTTCATTAGCAAAGGGTAAACACTGGTGCATTCCTTACAGGGTTCTTGTAGGGATTATATGGTCTAACTTAATGTAAAGTGCTTAGCATCGTGCCTGGCACATTAGAGGTGCATGATTAATGTTTTGTTTCTTTCCCTCTACCCCAATTATGGATAACATATTGATAAGCCTATCAAACTCTGAATTAAGGCTATTTGATGCAATTTAGATTATTTGTTATTAGAACTACCACTGTAAGTAAAGAGTGATCCCTGAGGATGGACAGTGGGGTAGGGGAAGTTGTCTCATTTTATGAGCAAGCGACACTTTTCTTTGCAGGGTGGATACACCCTAACTATAGTGTCTTTTGTTGTCAGCCATACAAAGTTCATTTACCAAGTTTCACACAGACATACCCTATAACCCTCCATGGAAATGAATCAACAAGCCTCACTACCTGATCCCTGTTGGGACAATACCACTGAGGCAACGACGAGCAAAAACTTTGAAGAAAACACATTATTCTTGCTCATCACATGCTAACTTTTCTCAGCACAGATATCAGCTTTATAGATCACTTTCAACAAACACATTATAAGCTCTACCACCACTGAAAAATAACTATGGCGATAATTTGATTGCTTCATTTAAACAATTTTTCAGAATATATTTTAGTTTCTAGTTATGTCATACAAAAATAAATAGTTTTAATGATTTACAACTAAGAAAAACTGGAACATGGAGGTACCAAAAATATAGGTAAGGGTGGCAAAAAATGTCATCATCTATTTCAAAAGCAGTATCTAAAGAAAGCACAGATTTCCTATGGGGTCTCCATACCTTTTTTTTTTCATCTTAGCATATTATGTCTTCATTTGCTATGTATCTAGAGATAATTTTATGCAAAATCTTCTCCTTACGGTTATTATGAATTTCAAACAGAAGGGCTCTCGAGCAAGATTAACTGCAGATGAAGGAAGAGGTGGGCTGAGCCGTTCATAGTACCCTTAAAATGCACTAAAGCTAACCTCTAAATGTTTTCTTTTAATTACAAAGCTCTGGCTTTCTCTGTCAATATGAGCTGTGGCTGAATAGAACCCCACATCCAGCGAAAATAATCCCATTTTGCTGTGGAATTCTTTGCACATCATGGACGTAGGCAGAAGTCAGGATCTCATGCAGCATAGCAGGTGACAAGTCAATCTCCCCAATTACATGAAGAGATAAGCACACCTATATTTTGGCTTTTAATTCCATTAACTTAGCGAAAATCCCTCACCCACAAATCCTACCATCACAATGCTTTATGAATGCATTGCAATTTTCCACACAGAGCTGAAAGAATATGATTCCTAGCACTGAGAGAAAACATTGGGAGGATTCAATTTCCTATTATTCTTTTAAAAAACTAGTTGGAATCTGCAGGGAGACAGCCCATTTATTTGGGAATCGATGTGTTAGAATTCTAAAGCCATAACAGAATTCTGGTTCTGTTTAAGCCATGGATTCTTTACCTTTCTCTCAAAAAACACACAACTGTTTTATTTTCATAAATCTGACTCAGGGTTTTATAAATTATGGGAAGCTGTACATTTTCGTAAATTGTATCCCAAATACTCAGGCAGCTGTTTTCTTTATTGCAGGCAGGTGTTTTAAACCAAGACCTACAGAGCTTAACAAATGTACAGTTATTTCCTGGAGGGAAAACAAAGATTTGTGGTATGGGACTCTGCATCCAAAGTGGGTGCAGGCTGATTCTAACAAGGTCTAGGTTAGACTCAAAATGATCCTACTGAAGTAATGCTTGTTCCTCGTGGGAAGTGCCGATGATACCTGTGAATGCTGTGGTCTCCCATGGGTAACTCCTGTCATGGACAGCATTGGAGTGTGAGTGTGGATCAACAAGATCCTCAGGGATTGCAACCATACATGAATGGTGCCACACAGCTGCTATAACGTGAGTCCTAGCCATACCCACAAGCAGGACACAATCATGGACACACAGTGTGGGTGCCCGTTTGTCTGATTTATAGGTGAGGTGGTGGCAAACGTAGCATCAGTTTCATTGCGGGGCAACGGCAAGTTACAGATATTTCCTTCACAACAGGAAGTGCAGACCTGAAAGAAAGGAAGAGAAAAAAGAAAGATGATGAGAAGGCTCCCTGGAAAGAGGCAGGAGTTTTGAGGGTGAAGCCGTAGGACAAAAATCCAGTAGAAACTGCCCACTACCCAGGGTAGTCTCCAATCTCACATTTCTAAGGAATAGGCTTATGGATATATTGATGTACCTTTGTGGCCTAGAACATCATTAAGTTTGTGATTGTTTTTATTTGCACTTGAAACAAAAGCAAATTTTCAATTTGTATGTTTTCCTCCTTAACAAATATTGTACAGTTCTATGGGGGGAAAAAAAAAGATAGCAGCTGGAAGATGATGTAGTCAAAATGAAAACATCCCAGGTTAAATTTTAAGGGATATGGGTTCCAATTTTTACCTCCTTCTTCATGACTCGTTTATGGTTGTGGCATCTTCCTCTGCTTGGCTTCAGAGACACTGCCCATGAAGGATAGCTTGGGAAGTTGGCTCCTCCTTGATTAAAAAGGCTTGTTATGCCTGCTTGAGGGGCAGGGAAAGCCCTCACTCCCTGAGTATTCACAGTTAAAGTGGCATGGCAATAACCCACGCCATTTAAAACTGATTGCTGATGTTCATTAGAATGATTCGTAACACTTAAAGGGTTTTCATTTATGCAGTTATTCCTGCTTTATGCCACTCTACCCACCAGATCAAACGAAAGAAAGAAATTCACAGTTGTTGAGAGATTTGATTTCAGGCCATGGCTCCACAGGACAGACCAGTCCATGTGACTTAAACTGGAAGCTCCATAGAAATGTAGAATCTCAACCTTGGTACTTCAACTGTCACTCCAGACTTAAAGGAATGGGCACATCTACTTTAGCCAGACAACGAGGTGACACATATTTTACACAGTCATTTTCTTGCAGAGATTTGAGCTTTTGATTCCAGATTACATGGGCTGGGAAGATGTTCTATCGAGGAGACACTGGAAGTCACAAGTATTTTATTTCTATCTCTGTCTCTTACCAGTCATGGGACCTGAGCATATGCCATGCCATCTCCAATTTTCTGTTCTTTTTGGTAAAGAAGCCACAGGAATTCTGAAAGCCAAGCCAAGTTCAGCTGGTTGGAGGAGTCAGAGAGAAAGTCCTTCTTCATCTTTACAAACAAGGACAAGTAGGCAGATTGTTTAATTTTTTGTGTATTTGAGAACTGGCATGAGAACTGGATGTCCGCATGAAGACAAAGAATCCCTTAGATTGACAATGCTATTGCAGAGAATTTAAAGGAGTTGTGAACAGACACTAAACCAAGGCCAAGGTCTCATATGTTAAGATCACATGTGGAGCTATCTCTCTGATCAAGCAAGAGAGCAGGGTGTTCTTGTCTCCAGCTCTGAGTCAGGCTGCCTATCTCTGATTCTTTATTCCTTTAAAGCTGTCCCAAAGTACATTGAACTTCTGAATCCAAGCAGTAGCTAAGGTTTAAAGGGAACAAATCCACAAGGGTATGACTTTCTTGTCACTTATCAAATGACTTTGGAGCCATTTTCTCCAAACTAGCATGCAAATAAAGACATGAGCGCTCACTTTAGAAAAGCTACCAAAGCTAAACTGACTTGGCTCTCTGCAGTTGAAAGGACTGCAGGTGCACCTGCAACGCTTTACTGTGATGGACATAAATACTGGCAACTTCATTGTTTCCTTCTGAGTGAGGAAAGGTTTAGAACAATTTCCAATAACCTTTTGCAATATTTGCACAAAGCATAGTGATTGTCCTATAAATCTACATTCCTTAGAGCAACAGAAAAGGAAGCTTCTTTTCATTAAGGTATAGACAGTGAAAAGCTGTCCAACTTGGGCCCTAAAGCTCTGTCGTTAGTGTTGGGAGATAGCTGAGGTGGAGAAGAGCTGACTACACCATCCTGTTACAGGCAGCATGACCCAGACCTTGTGGCCTTCATGCTCGGAGTCTCTGCAGCCAGTGGACAAGCACTCTTCCAGCGACACGCAGCGCTTAGTGACAGACACACTGTTCCCCGTGACTTCCATCGTGTGCTGAGTGTAGCAGTATCGGGTCTCTGTCAACAGAGAGAACGTGTTTTAATGAGATGCCAACGATAGCGACACATGGCTTAAAAAGAGAACAACCCACGAATGAAAAGACATAACAGTCCAGATGTCTGCCTCAGCAGTGCTACCCAGTCCCAAAGCTCTCCCCATGGTAGATTCATTCTGCCAGAGTAGGAGGATGGTCTTCTAGGGAGGTCTCTCTGCTGATGACAATTCCCATAAAAGCAAGACCAGGGGCATCAGGTTCTGCCTCATTCACAATTTTTGGGAGGGATCATTTAGTAGTTAAGAGTCATCACAACTCTCATGAAGAGGGAAGGGTGAAGAAATTTAAAGGACTGAATGTTAAAAAAAGATGGCAGGTGACAATGGTCCTGACCAGGGGTGGGTTCCTCCGGGGGGGAGGGGAAACTACAGCAAAAACAGGTGTGTGTGTGTGTGTGTGTGTGTGTGTGTGTGTGTGTGTGTGTGTGTGTGTGTAACTCAGGTAAGACAGTGTGACGAAAAATGGATTCATTCTATCTGGAGACAAAACCTGTCCAAAAGACAAGTGCTCGCCTAAGCACACAGCCAGATGCCAGGATGCATCATGGTAGATGACTACTCCGACAGGGAGAATTTTTCAAAGTGAGGGAGCTTTGTCCTCACGAGGTTTCTGCCTATTCACAAGAGTAGGCAGAGGCCAGCATGCAAGGTACGACCAGTCCCTCTAGGTTTTCTGAATATGAAAACCTGAGATCACCTTCCAATCCTGTAGGGAATGGTTTTACTGGTGATTTAAAAACCAAACAGAAATGTTTTGGTCAGTATAAGTCTTTTTTTTTAATATAATTTTATTTTTTTATTATATTTTTGACAATCTTTACATAGCTAATTAGGGCAAAAATGTACAAGGGCTATGGGAAAGTGGGTAAGACTATTATTTCCATATTGTTTCTTTCATATATCTAAGGTAAAGGGGAATATTGAGGGAGAAGGCCCACCCAGTCTCCCACCAACCCCAGGTCTCAGATGTGAGGCATGCTCTGAGATCCTTGCTCAAGTAGTTTTGATAGTTCAATAGTTATGACTCGCTGCCAATCTCGCCACTCCAAGCACGATGAGGTCGTTGAAGAATCCACTGATTGACACAGTCCATCATAGAGTCTCCATTTGTTCAGTTTTTCGCTGCTAACATATAGCTGAGATAGTTGATTGACCTGTTCTGTCTTATCTCTTTTCTTGGTTAGGGTTCTGAGTCCAGCATTTTGATTGGGGAGATCTCCAAAGAAACTTTGTCTGAGGTGTTCTCAGACCAGATTCTTCTATGTGTAGCAAGTACAGGGTCCAGCACAGTACATCGCCATGATCAGCTAGTGGTTGCAATTGCTGGATTGGTTCTACTTTCAGCCCCGACTTTCACTGGAACCAATGGGTGTTGCAGTCCAGCCTGGTTCTGCCCAGCACCTGCTTGGCCCTCACATAAACCAATGCGAGCTGCAGCCTAGTCAGAGCGACCCACAATAACCCCCATCAGGCCCGGCTGTGCCCTTGTTTGCCCGTCTGTGTAGCAGACTAGTCCAGTCTGTTCCACATCCCATTTGGCTCTCATACATGTCGATGGGCATTGAAGCGTAGTTCCATCTAACCAGCTCAACTATCGAGCCTTCACGGCTGTTGTTGAGTGCCTTTCTGTCTAGCCACCCCAGCCCCATCCTAGTTTTTGTGCCCTCCCATGGCAGTGGTAACCCAGGACGGAGGAGCCCACTATTTCCCTCCCAGGCCACTCCCACTCCTGGATTATGCACTCTCCAGGTAGTTCTGTGGTTTATCTTGACAGAATTAGCCCCTAGTGCCAGCTTCTGCCAGCTGATGCTGAGGCTAAGCCCAAACAACCCTCACCCACTCTAATTGTAGATTGCACCAGTAGGAATAATCAGCCCAGCCTGGCTTTTGCCTGATCTGGTCCCCATGAGGCACACAGGTGTTGTAGCCCTGCCTAGTCTGGTTGGCCCCCATGCCAGCTCATGCTCTCCAGTGGGAGTAGCTGTCCAGCAAGGGAGCTACCCTTTATTCCCCTGCCAGCTCTGCCCTCTCCCTTCCTGGTTCTCACGCATGCTGGATGGGTGCTGCAGTCACATCTGGTACAGGCAACCTCACCTTGGCATTCTGTATTGTGTACTGCTTTTGTCACAACTGAACCTGGCTTGACCCACACTGTTCTGGTGCTTTGATTTGCCAGTGGATGATGTGAACTGATTCAGCCTGGTCTGCCCTCGATCCATGCCAAATGCATGCCAGTGGGAAACTTTCCATGGCCTGTTCTGGGCTGTTTCCTATCATGCTTCTTGCGCTTACCTGCCGGGTCTGTGTCCTGCCAGAGGAGTTGCCCAGGCTGCTCCATCAGAACCCCTCTCAATGCCAGATTGGCACATACCAGGGGGCCCATTAGCCAGCCCTACTCAGTTCACCTCCTGTCCTAGTAGGAACAGTGGCTTTTCCTGGCTCGCCTTCAACTCAAGCTGGTTCTTGCTGTTGGATGTTTCAGCCCAGCCATACCTCGTTCATACCCACATATGGCTCACACATGGTTTAGTAGGGGTTGAGACCTAGCCTAGTCTGTCCCACATCTACCCTGGTCCTCCAGGACACCAGACGGTGTCGGGGTCTGGCCCGGCTCGGTGCATCCAGTTCCAGTCCACACTTGTGCCAAGGGAGAGTACAACCGTATCCTGATCAGAACGCAGCCCCCATTCCAGTCCATGTGCCCCTTGATGGGAACCTCAACCAAGTTAGGGTGTCTCCTTAGCTCCCCAACTGGGCCTGTTCCCAATCATAGATCACTTGCATGCCAGTGGTTGCTCTGACTCAGCTTGGCTCATCCCACAAGCTGATCTGACCTCTGCCTTAGACACTGTGGCTTAGCATCCTTGACTCAGGCCAACCAGTAGGTGCAACAGCCTAGCTCTGCATGACCTGTACTCCATCCTGGTTTCTAGTTTCACTTGTAGGCTAAGGTTTGCTCAGTCCTGCCAAGTACAACCCGTTCCATTGCCAATTCACACATTAGCCAGCCGTTGGAGCTACTTTGCTCAGCTTTTCCGGCCCCCAGGTCTGGACCACATGTTCACCAGTGGGAGCTATGACTCGCCATGGGAGTTTCCCAAGTTCCTCCACTTGATCCACTCCCCAACCCAGTTCTCATACATGCCCTTGGGTTTTATGCCAGTGCTCAGTGCAGTCTGGCCTTCCATTTGGCCTTGTATGAGCTGGTGAATGTTGCAGCCCAGCCCACCCCACGCCCTAGTCAGGATGCACATTCAGGTGCTGTTGCTTTGACCAGTCCAGACTGTTGTGGGTTCCTTTACCTGTGATTGAAGGTAAGCTCCTTGGTCACATATAGCTTAGTCCATCACCACCCCAACTCTTAAGCTAACCAGTGGGGCTAGAATTTCCACAAGGTTTGGCCCACAAACCCCCCACAGAATCTACTCCCAGATATGGTTCTCGAATGCTAGTTAATGTCATGACCCTGCCTACTGTGACCCCTCTGATTCATCATTATGTCAGGTAATAGGACAATCCCTGAGCCTTATCTTTTGCATGGACTGGTGTTTGGTGCTTAGCATTGTTAAGTGATTACAAGTGCTTCAGAGGAAGAGTTACTGTCATTGGGAATCTTAAGGATTGATTCTCATCCCAAAAACACTGTGGGTTCAAATGGAGCTTCCTCAGCAGTGATTCAAAGAACCCAAACCCCAGAGCTCCCCAGACAGACGGCCAGCAGGTGGAGCCTCGCATGAAATGGCACGCTGGCGGCCCGAGGATAACCCACCACGTGCATGTGGTGGCTGGAGCCGGGATCCAAGCAAGATGCCCCATCCTGAGGCCCACCAGCAGCTGGGAGGCTGCTGGAAGTTTAAACCCCCAGGCCCAAGGTCAAGTCCCTCTCCAATCCTGTCCACTGCTTAATGAGAGCGGCAGGTGGGCCCCAAAACCTGGGCCCGCCCAACCCAGTTTTGGAGACTTATCCTAAAGGGAGCAGTCCCAGGAGCCCAGACAGGCCCGGAGACAGCTCACCATGTGTACGTGGTGGCTGGAGCTGGGATCTGAACAAGATGCCCCGTCCTGAGGCCCACCAGCTTCTGGGAGGCTGCTGGCGAGTATAATTCTTTAAGGTCCTCAGGCACTGTTCAGCATCCTAATCCTGTGGTTTAGGAGAAGGCTCCTGCTCCACTTCCACAGTAAAAAAAGATGAATAGTTCTTGAGGTATGTCACAGAGCTGTTTTTCATGCATAACTTGGATGCAACTTTGCATGCTTTATACATTCTTGGTATTTAGTTGCTAATATGGAATTATGACCTTCTATCATATTATTTATTAGGCAATAAAAATCCTTCCCCTGCCTTACCAGATTCTTTCATGACTTTGGCAGCTTTTAGCCAAGATACTATGAAGACAGCTTAGGAATCCCATGTCCTGAGAAAGAGCATGGGCAGCTCACACAGACACATCCTGGGAGTGGTGGAAATGGAGGGCATAGTGATCTTTGGACACGCCCTCTGAACAGAACCCCCACATCGCTCTGGGCCTTCTAAGAGGTAGTTGCATTCCCCCAGGTGCAGGCTTCCCCCCGCCCTGCAGAGCTCTTCCCCACACTGCTCTTCCCCCAGATGCTGCTGCTTGGACCCCAGTGCTGGACATCCCCAGCTTGTTCAGGATCTTTCTAGGCGAGAAAAAGCACATAAAAATCCTTGAGGGCTTTACACTGATTCTTCCCAAGCCCAGGAATAGTTACAATTTGGGAAGTAATTTTTTCTGTTTTTCTCAATGATGAGGAAGGGGCAGTGTCTTCAGGTAATACTTTTCCTTCAAGCCTTTGGCAGGTGTTGATAACCAGAGGCCAATGGCCTGAGAGATTGTCCACATCTTCTGAGGAGGACTGGCTCCCTTCCTGGTAACAGATTGGACAGCCATCAGAGGTCTATCTTTCCCACCCTCACTCCAGCTTCAAATGCTCTAGAAAG